GCTTGATTTTGATTGCTTTTTGTTATGGTTATCAAGTTTTACCTATATTCAGTTATGTTTTTTAATAATCGCTCCCAGTTTTCAGAACTGAAAATGTTTACAAAAATTATATTATCTATGGGATTAAGTAAATTATATAGAACATAAGTGGTTAATCGGGTGAAGAGAAGAAAGACGAATAGAAAGATTGCCGGGTAGATATACATAGTTGATCGGGCTACACTCTAGACATATGATATATATATCTCTAGCTCTACCTATGTTCAGTGTTTAAGGTTGTGATCTTGTTCTGTACACTTTAAGGGATTTTGTAAAATTTTCAATTTCATGCTCTGAGCGGCACATGCTAATTTACCAAATTCAGCGCTCTTCTATGCGCTTCTCACAATTTCTAGCTGCCCAGCTCATGAAGACATTTTCAAATATTTTCTTTGGTTATACACACCAATGCAGATTGTGTTTGTGTGAGTGTGCGAGTGTTTGTGGCTGTGTAAGTGTTTTTTTCGTTTTTGTACAATTGTCGTTGAACTTCTCCTCTGCAATATATCCCCAAAAAATGATTCTTCAGTTTCATTCAAATGCCCCGCCCAATGGAGTGTCAGTGTTGAATTGAAGGCGATACTTACGAAGCCGGCGGACTGGGCAAGGCCACTCGATGGATATTCCACGTGGCCACCGACACGGAATGCTCGTCGGCCGCATAGCATCGCCACACGGCCTGGATGAGAGTGGCCGCCGGCTGGCGGCGCCGGATCATGTGCTTCTGCCGCTGCTGCTGCTGCACCTTCAGGGCGAATCCACTGCCCAAGATGCCCTAGAAAATCAGAGGTTGTTTGTATTGACAATTGGCTCATTAGTATAGTATACGCAAAGGAATATTAGACAGAGCTGCGCCTCTAATGGCATTAGTCCTTAAAAAAGTATTAAATTACTTAAGATTGTCTAAGTAGAAGTCACAATAGTAACAATTAGAAAACTAATGACATTTTAAATCTAAACTGAATTCTTGTTCTTAAAAGACTTACCGCAGGCAGAGCGAAGAAGGAGATTCCTAGAAGAGCACAACAGGAGGCAATGAGCTTGCCCTGCCATGTGATCGGCACCATATCTCCGTAGCCCACTGTGCAGAGTGTTATCTGTAATCGCGAATAGAGTGTACAACACTTGGGAGATATACTAGAATCTGTAGCACTTACCACACCCCACCAGAGTGCCTGGGCAAAATTGCTGAACTTGTCATTGACGTCCTTCTCCCACATGTAGACCAGGAATGATGCAAAGATTAGACCTAAGAACCCTATATACATGGTTGTGATCAGCTCCTAAATTAAAAAATATAATACAAAACTATGTAAAATATCTTTAAATTTACTTTTGTCTAAAGCATGTTACACAAACAAATATTTTTTATTTAAAGAGAGTTTAAGGTAAATGTGCCTTAATACAAGTGCACTTTAATATAAGTATACTTTAATGCAAGGTAACTGATAAATTGATTTTATTGTCGTTCGACTATACGTTTGCAAACCATATAAATAGCTTTGTGTTACAGAAAACTTTAGTTATGTAATAATATAATAAGGATGCAATAGATTTAGAACAATTAGATAGCTCACTCACCTGTCTATGTGCGTAAACAACCGAGCCGAGCAACTTCCAGGTGCCGCCCCGTCGATCCATGCGCACCATCCGCAATATCTGAAAGAACCGGAGGCCACGCAGGGCACTCGTGGCAAACACCTGGCCCGAGGTGCCCATCCCTAATACTACAATTGAGGCTAAAATGGTGACAATATCTGGAATATGATAATCCCAGTTTAGCTTCTTGTTGATCCTTATAAATTGCGCAGAATACAATACCTATAATACAGAATGGTCGCTTCACGAACTTCATCCGACCCAGGCAGCCCTGGTATCGCGATCGGCAGCCCGAAGACCATAAACGAGCTCCAAACTCCATCGTGAACCAGATGACCACCAGGATCTCCATGCGGAACAGGATGTAGACGGCGTCCTCCTCGTACTCCTTGATGGTGGAAAACACACTGAGCGCCAGGCAAGTGAACACCATCAGAAACCTTGAGGAAAAATGAATTAACATTAGATAAGTTTTATTAAATTAATTTTCTTCTTTTAGGAGATTATTCAGAGAAAACTCATTTTTAAATATTTTATAAAAAATCTAAGCCGACACTTGTCACGAATATTTTTAATTCTCAATACGGAGGGGAAAGGTGTAACAATATACTTAAGTTTAAATCAAAACTATTTATTTAGATTTATCCTTAATACTACGTATGACATTTGGTCTATGTATATACAAGTCATTGTAAAATATAAATAAACATAAATTTGAATATAATTGGAGTTAATTACAACGTTTTAGGCACTTTTTAAAAACCATAATTAAATATCAAGTAAAATAAAACAGATCTAGCTTATGAACAACAACTAAAGATTAAAAAAAAATTGTTTATGAGTCTAAATTTTTTTTGAAACAACATAACATTTTTTTAACACTTTAAGATAATTAAAGTGTGATCCGGATGCCACTAAAATACTATTTTGTGTTTACTTACACCATCACATGGTAGAAGATGGCGTGCAGGCCGCGAGGCCGCTCCAGGAAGTTATAGAGGCGACTCTGAAGACGCCGGTAGCGAACATCGCGGCGGGTGCCGCGGTTGTAGTTCAGCGGCTTTCCTAGGAGTGACATTCGAGGTTGCAGGATTCGTTCCGAGTTCGGCCTGCCCGGTCTACATTTCCTGTAATTCAGATAATGAGCCACTTAGTCTTTATTTTAATCAATTCAAATTCACGTTAGCTGGTTATATTGTTTTAAGTGTACCCCTTGTAACCCTTTATGTCGTAGAAGGCATAAATATCGTTATCCGGATCCATTCTGATCTCATTCCACCCCGGTGGGTTCTCGGAATCTCTCGGCTAATATTTTTGACACTTTGGACACGTCTAGCTTCGACGGCGATTCAATAGCAACTCAATCGACGGCTGATCGTCGGCCGGTTAAAAAACCTTCCTTAACAACTAGACTTTCAAAACCCCATGTGTAAATTTTATTAATTATCTACATAAACAGTTTTTTCGTTCCACACACCTTGCATTTTTACGACACCCCAAGTCTGCGTAGACCTCTATTTGGTTTTATTTTAATATATACCCTATATACCCAAGTATATTGCACCTCGTCATCAACAAAGTGCCATAAAATTTCGCGTACTTCAGCGACGTTTTCGTTTTGGTTCTCCTTCGCCGTTGTGGGCGGGTCAGGTTCGCTTTAGTCACGATCTCTCGACTTTGTCTTTGCCCAACGTGCTGCCAGGCGATCGTACGTCATTAACTTTAGCCACTTGCCATACCCCACTAGCCAAAAATGGGTGAGTTTTGGCAATTCGTTCGGGGTGTGCTGGAAAATTACCAGCCGCTGATGGGAGAGTTCTATTGCTATTGATATGGGATTCCAGGAGGTTTCCATAGTAGCATTTAAAATAATACGGAAACAAACGACGAGAAACTGGACCTGATAAATGTCTACGGCCAAAGTTGCTAAACAGAAAGGTAAGTAATCAAAAAAACTTTTTTTTTTTAAATCACCAAACAAAATTTTTTTTAATCAAAAAAATTTTTTTTTTAGTTTAAATATTTAAAAAATATTTATAAAACTCTTAAATATTTTTCTTTAGCAACTCTAAAAACAATTAAAAGCCTGATTGTAAAAAAAAATGTTTTTTTTTGCGGGATCGAAATTGTAAAACGGCTGCACAAACTTAAAAGTCAAAATGCGCCAATAAATCCAACATGGACACGCAATTTTTTGAAATAAAAAAGTTTCCCTTTCTTATATTTTTGTATTCAAGGTGAATTGTTTGAGTTTATTTTGAAATCAAATAAACCATAAACCATTTTGCTAGCATTTTTCCAACACCTTAGATAAATACATTTGTAAAGAGCTTAACTACCTGAAATAAAAAAAATTGGAATAAGCAAATAACAAAGAGTTTAAAATAAGGAAATCCAGTTGAATGTTTTCTGTTAGATGGATTACAAGTAATCTATCTTAACATAACAACGAATCACTAAACAAAGACAGAGTTTTATTGGCTCATCTTTGATTAACATTATAGATCAATACTAATTAGATGTGAGTCAGCTAAAAACACAACTACAGATGATACTCGCAGCAATTAGCATAATTTAACTGGCCAGAATGATGACTTTCCCCGTCAAATAAAGTACACAGCTATGATCAAAATAATAGAAATATTAATGTCGTTTATTTTTATTTAATATTTTTGTAGTTGCTTAAAAGTTACCTTTTTTTATGAAAACAAATCTTAAATTTTTGAAAAATGTATTTTACTTTTGTCAGTATTGAGGAAACATTTTATTTATGCAAAAATAATTAAAGGAAGCTAATCAATAAGATTTTTTGTTTATTTGGCCCAACAATATTTTAAATTGTTCCCAAAAAGCTTAACTTTTAGCTATGTGTAGAAAGAAATTTATTTTATTTATGTAAAAACTAAAACAAAATTTTCAGAACAACTGTTTGTATTCATTTCACTTAGCATACATACATAATTGTCTATAGTGCATAATATGCTAACTGGACATACATATAGTCGTCATAAATAGTTATTATTCTGCTGATTGTATGTGGGAAGCGGGAGAGCCAGTTCTCAGGCCTCTTTTTCCGGCAACTTTTTAAAGCTCCCCTCGAGCGAGTTAATTGCAGTGCCGAAGTCAGTTATCGACATACGGATCGCGAAAGCTCTTCACTATCCACGATCCGTGGAAATGTGCCTGTGTGTGTTGATTTGTTTTGATTCCGCTGTATGAGTCATGCATATCTTATCTTCCAGCGATCTTCCAGCGATCCCCAACGGAAAGTGCTGCCCATCACCATAAAACGCCAAGAATCGTTTGATTTGAAAATTGTTTAATGCATTCTTGCTTGTTTTGTGTGTGTTTACTTTTGTGTGTGTGTGTGTGTGTGTGGCTTAGGTTAGGCAGTAATTAAAATATACGATGTGGGTGCGCAATGTTCGCTTGGCCGTTTTACAGAACGTATTTACACAGTGGTTGGCTGGAGAGAACAGAACAGCTCTAACAGTAGAAGTAATATACGATAAATATAAATGATAATTCGTGCACAAGATCACAAGTTGTGGCACCAGGCGGGGGGACGACGAAAGCGCGTTAATCGCGGGTAAATCCAATCCTCTCCAGAAGCATGGGACCTCATGCTTCTCATTTCTTGGCATCGATGATGATCTCGTCGCCCGACTGGATGTTGTAGCTGTACAGCTGCTTGTTGGGGTACCGCATCTCCTCGGGCCCGAACTCCTTGTAGTCCTGGTCCAGATAGTACAGACGCATCTTGTTGGGCGACAGGCCCACCAGCTTCTCCAGCTTGACCTTCAGATCGTTGACGGTCAGGTAGATGTCCACGAATCGACTCTCGCTCACATCGTTGTAGGTGAACAGCACCTTGACCCGCTTGTCCGGCTTCAGGCTGACATTGACCAACGGATCCAGCTTGCCGTGGATCTGCAGGAGTTCTTCGTACCGCGCCGGCCGCTCGTCCTCCGGCTTGTCCATGTAGTATCTGACAAAGGCCCGCTCGGCATCCACGCGTTCATCGCTACTGATCTTGCCCCCCCCGTTCAGCATCTCCACATTGGGCAATCGGGCTATCAGAAGCTGCCTTCTCTCGTGCTCCGTGCACTCTAGACTTTCCCACAGCGGCCAGTGTTTCACGCGTAGGTTGCGTAGTTGCCCAAACTTGGCCAGCTGATCGATGGCCGACCAGCTGTCGAGCTGCGCAGAACTGAGGTTCAGCAGCCTCAGACTGGGGAAATATCTGTGCGTGTCGCTACCCTCGTCGGCCTGCAGCGATCGTATGGGACAGTCCGCAAGGACCAGGGCCTCCAGATTGGGAAACAGCCGGCCCAGTCGACAGATCTCCTGCCAGTGCTCGACGGGATTGCCGGTGAAATGCAGGGTCTTTAGCGCAGGATGGGCCCTGGTGATGCGCAGCTCCGTTTCCTCGGGCGTTTCCGTCTCCTGCAGCCGCTGCTCCGCCTCCTCGGCGTCGATCAAGACTTGCCTGTAGTTGTTCAGACTGAGATGCAGTTCCTGCAGCACGGGAAGATTTCGCAGCAGCGAGTCCACACAGGCCCAGTCCAGATAGGTACCGTTTAGCACCAGACTCTTCAGATTGATCGTTGGAGCCGTGGGCAGCGAACTGATCGGACTGGCCAGCTGGTTCTTGCTCAGGTTTAGGAACTCGATGCGCGGCATGTGCTCCAGTATGCTGAAGACTTCCGACCAGTCGCTCAGCTTGTTCTGGGCCAGATCCAGTTCCCTGACCCGCTGGCACTTCTCCCGGATGCTCTCGAAGTCGCCGGCCGAGTCGATGTCGCAGTCGTTGAGCACCAGCAGGGCTGGCACACTGGTCAGGGGCGACAGGCGGGGTATGAAGATGGAGAACTCCATGCGTCCGCCGCACTTTGTGACCGTAAAGTCATTGGGCAGGTCGCTCCGCTTGTGGAGTTCCGGTTCGTGGGCATTCTCGAACTCGCATTCTGTGAAGTACTTGCGCTCCAGCGCCTCCAAAAGCGAAGGCATTGCGAATGCACTTCCCTATGGGATTGGGTAAATAATATTATGGGTGCTAATCCCCCCCTATATGTTTGGGGTTCTCTTATTTTGCCCCCTATTGATTTTCCTCGCTTTTCCCGTTCTGTGTCGGCTATGTCGGCTGTGATGCAATTTTTCAGTTTTGCGCAGTTGCAGTCTTCATTGATTTTAAACAAATTATTGCGCACGTTTCACGTTATTCGTTGTTTGTTTTTTTTTTTTTCTTTTCTGTTAATTATTGCGCACTAATTTGAGTCTTTTTTTTTTTGTATTACAACGTGCTTCGATGTATAAAAAAAGATCGTAACAAAGAAACCCAAAGTGCGTTGGTCTTGGCTGGTTTTTTCGTATCTCTCTGGCAGCTTAGATGCGTTTTCCCTTTGTTGTCGTTTTGTATTGGTCGCTGCTTAACCTTTGTCGCAGTGGCCAGCTTTTCCGCTTTTCTGCTTCTGTTTGTTTGTGTTTTTTTTTGCTTTTCCGCAACGCTCTCCGTCCGTTCGCAGTGCCACCAAACGCTCAACTAACCACCGAGAACCGCGCCAAACTCCTCAGCAGTCGGTGGTGCAGTGCATATACACATCCACATCTATATGTGAATATATACGGGTGAGTCGTGTGCTCGTGCTCGGATTCGGATTCGGATTCGGATTCTGGCCTGTTTAGTGCTTTTTGTGTGTAGGTCGCTCGACATGCGCACACGAGCGGTTCGGGCCCAAACTGGGGCGTTTCCAGCGAACTCAGGCCGAGGTGTAATTTTCAGAAACAAAAACGCGATAAGTTCTCGTCTGAGGTGCTTCCGAAATCCGATCAGACAAGAACTTATCTGTTAATTTTGACAAAGCCCAGTAAAATACCAATTCAAAATTTACCCTTAGACGCAATTCTCACTGCCCCCTTATATATTTGAACGTAGTCATAGTGCATGTAAAAATAATAATGAATAATAATCAATTTTTATTACAAACCTCTTGGTATATTATTTATAAATAAAAAAAAAACAATGTATATACAATTATAAAAAAGTAACGATAAAATACACAATGGCAAATACATAAATTTAAAATTCTCTTGATTAAAAAATAAGTGGATACAAAGCCAGAAACCTAAAATAAGACTTTATAACATTTTAATTAATAATATTAATATTGATGTTCAAATAACTAAATTCCCAGTAAATTATAAGCGGTAACTGGAAAGGATTTGAGGTAAAACTTTAAAACTTGTAAACATTTTTTTTATAGGATACAGGGAATATTGTTTAAGTGACCTTTAGCTGGCAAATATAATTCCAAAAAAATGTTTCTTAAATATTACTGTAACTAAACTAAACTCCATAATTTGGATTTTTTTAATTGAGGAAGTCACAGTAACCTGATTATCTGTGGGCCCAATTTCGAGCGCGGCGTAGTTCCGCCCCCCATGTAAACGCTTTGACAGCGACCTTGCCGACAAAAATAAATACGCTGTTTCAATTACGAAATTTTGTTTAAACTAAGACGGCAGAACAAATTATTTGTTTGGCTTGCTCTAGCATTTTTTTGGGTTTCTGGCGCAGGCATAAATAGAATGCAGAGCAGGGCGGGGAAATATTAAAAATAAATAAATACATTTACAATGACCTTGTCATGTGCACTTGACAGGCGGCCCTAGAAAATATAGAAAATAAATGAGAATACTGGCGACTATCTAATTGGGCGCAAGGGCCGCCCCAGCGTCCCCCGTGGAAAGTGAGTGCGCCTCTGGCGGGCCGTGAGGAAAACCAGTTATAAAGTCAATGGTCATGCCACAGTGGGTACTCATTACGAGTGACAGGTGGCCAATTGTGATCCCGAGTGACAAGTGGCAATTGTAAATAGCATGGGAGAGTGCAAACAAATAAATTAAATAAATTGATTTAAATTTGGTGCGACCTTGCAGCTTATAAAATGCAGTTAGATTGGGGTTGGTGGGTACATGTCAAAGGGTTTTCACTTTAGAGCTTGAAAGGTGCGCAATAGATTTGCGAGAGAGTGGAAGAAGAAGGGGATATACGGGGGGAAAGAGAACCAGAGAGCTCCAACTTAGAAACACTCAAAGCTCTCTCACTCTCTCTCTCCCGTACAGCTGGGTTTTGTTGTCCCACGAAAACAAAGCAAAAACAAACAGCAGGGGAGCGAGGAAATCAGCACTCACATGTTTGTTTGCATTACGGTGCTTTGGCAGACAACAAAAAATTACGCAGCATTTGTGCTGGAGCTTTGCCAGCCACCAGCTGATTCTGTTTGGGCAGGAAAGCTCCCCCCACCCCAGCCCCCCAATTTACACCCCAAAAAGCTTTTGCGCCATGTGCAACACCAATCAACAAACAAAGAGCAAACAGATGGCAGCACTGTGTCCGCTCTTTTGTGCTTTTCCTTTGTCATTGGGGGGCGTTTTGGTTAGAGTTGTTGTAACGCCATCACCATATCGAAGGTTTCGCTATACAGTGCGCCCTCCATAGCTGAAACCAAAATCAAAAAATCTTTTAGTTTTATAACGACCCTTACGAGGGATATATTTAAAAATCCAACGGACTAAGTTTTATAAATACCTAATAAGCTCTCGAAAAAATTATTTTGTTTCTTAGAAGATTTTAGAATTTACATTGTTTTCAAACATATTAAAAATACCACAGAATTGAATACAATACGTATTCTTTTCGATCGTTTTTGGAAGAATAATTAAATTTTAAAAATTAGTTTATAGAATATTATTCAAGAAAGCCTTTTTCTATTTTTTTTTAAACCTAATGATATTATATATTCTGTATTTTAAGAAAAATGCAACATAACAACAGCTTTTTTAGTGAGAGCATTACATTTAAGAATTTAACCTTTATAGAAGATGCTTTAAAATATTTTTTTAGGGTAAAATTAAGTTGAGTGATGTGTAAGCGATATGTTTTGAATTTAAATTAAATTTAGTAAATTTCGCGTTACAGAATTTCATCTGCTATTGTTTTTTTCGCGCCCCGTTCTGCATGACTGAACTCAATTTGCGAATATTTCACTGTTCACGCTGCTATAAATATGGTTGATAGATAAAAGTGTTTGTACACACATGCAAGCTAATATTCCGGATTGACAGCGAGTTGCAAATTGGTCAATGTCTGAGGAGGGTTCAATCAGGTTCTTCCAATATTTCGTTTTCCATTCATTGCCGATTTTTATTGTACCAAAAAAAATTCAAGTACATGAGGAATAGAGAAGTCAAAATCGTTGACAGGTTGAAAAGAATACCTGCATCAAGGCAGGAATTTTAAACTACCTCGACTATGCTCAAATTCCAAATATTATTTTTCCCAAAGGAAAGGCTTGCTTGAAAAACGAATTGTATTCCCTTTGTTTCAAGGGAGGTTTGGCGTTAGGCAGACAAATATATTTATGTATATATGTGCGTATAAAAAATGTTGGTATAAAAATAATTATATGAATTAGTTGCCATAAATGAATTGGGTTAAATTGGTTCATAAAATGTGCACTCATTAATCAATAAAAATAAATACAACCGTGAAGTAACATATTTACTTTAAGTGTTTCGTCAGCTCCAGATAACAAACAGTATGCACCAAAGGCTCATAAAATCATAAATAATTGTTGAAAATTTCGCAAAAGCAAAAAGAGCTCCTAAATCACTCTTTAGCACAAAAAGCATTAAAAGCTACTGTGGCAAGTGGTGATATGCTGACCATTTCTATACTTGACACTTTATGGGGCTCTTAACCCCAGAAGTCAATCACTTAAGTAGGCCTAAACCTGTGCCATATAGCCAAGTTGGGGACTCGTGTGTGTTTGCATCTATCAAGTCATCAATTATGTCGACGACCCACATCGCTCATTAGCTATATGCTACATGCGTTTTTGTATACGAAGCCAACCCCTGTTGTCCCTCACCATTGCGTCTATATTTAACCAAAATCGTTGGGATTTTTGCGCTTAGACTTGTTGGCATTTTCGCTTGGTGCATTAATAGTTCAAAAATATATAATTTTCTGTTATGGTTCGCCGGCGAAAGCAGAGCGGCAAATAAGTCATTTGTCAATAGAATTTTCATTTCACTTGACTTTTCCCCAGTGACCAGTGCTCTGGGCCACAGGTCACTTTGCCCATCAATATCGTATATCATATATCACATGTATCATGCATCATGTATATCAGTTAAATTTATTATTTGCTGATCTATATGCGCATTGATTTGCCTTTATTGGGGCCTTTTCATGAAGATGGATGCGTTTGGCGGTAATTAGGAATTTTCTGTTGCTTTGCAGCGATATAAATATTGCTTTAATGGCCACAAAAACGCTGGCTTTTGTTTACACATCGGGATCGGTACAAAGGCCTGTTATAATCCAGCTCATTGAATTTTCAAATCGATTGCGTCAATTAATGCAGAAACTAGACGAGTTGTTGTTGTTGTGTTTGGTTGGTCATAAAGTTTCTAAAAATTTAGCTTGTGTCTGCGACGTTTAACGACTTTAAAGCGAATGGCACACAACCTCAGAAATGGCAGCGTAAACAATGATATGAAATGGCACAATTTTCCCTTGGCAGCATCTTTATTTTTCATCTCCTTTGTCTCATTTAGAGTCTAGACGGAATTTTGAATTATTGCACGATACCCAGTGTCAACAGCATCCACTCTCTGGGTCGGAGTAGATGTGTCTGGTCTTCGGCTAACCTTGCGTATGAGTAATTTCATTATGATTAGCCGACTTGTGCTGCATTTGAAATGAGGTCTGCGGTACCATTTAACGGCTGTGATATATGAACAGTTGGGGTACACATAATAACACTTTAAAGAGAAAAATTTAATTTAATTTTATATATATAAGCGGTTTTTTCTTTTCACTTGTTCTATTTTTTTATTGCTGTTTCAAGAAATTAATAACTTTATTTAGAAGAATAGTTTCATTATATATATTTTTTAATAATACTATTATAAATTACTACAATTTTAATAGTTATTAAGAAATTACAAAACCTTTTTTAACCTTCCCATGTGGTAAACTGGAAATCGAATATGTGATATCAATCACTTTTAGAAAATTAATCTATAGAGCCATTATTTTAACCTCTGTTGTATAGGTAATATAGTGCGTACCATTCGTTGAGCCATTTCACAGATGGCAAAAGTTGGCTCGTAAATTCTGGCAAATGAAAGCGAATCGAATAATAAAAAAAACCAACGTTCTGTCGATAAGAGCAGCAGTAATGGGATGTAGTGCACTTGCACTTGCACTTGCACTTGTTTTACCGCAGGCGTTGTTGATAAGATATTATTTACTTTGGTTTTTTTTCGATAAACAATTTTTAATTCCATTCCATCTTGTGGCTGTTATGCTGTGCTTCTCCACGCTTTGACTAATTTGGTTTGGACGTGAAACCGTGGGTTTTGCGGGTCGGTTTATGGGATGGATGGGGGTGCCTGTCAACTAGCAGCGTTAATTTAATATGCGACATTTGCACTTTTCGGTCAGTTCCCGTGCCGACACCTCACAGCCCCCAGGAATGGGGTTCATCGGTTGTGCCACCGCCGACGGTGTCGTTTTCTGGGAACTCGGGGACGACGGAGGTGGTCCGGAGGAAGGTGTCTCTGCGGTCTGACCCTCCGGCTGCAGTAGCAGATTGTACTGGCAGCGAAAAGAACAATTTGTGCAATGCACTTTATGCACTCTCGCTGGTCTACCAGTTGGGGAAGTGGTGGATGTTGCCTTGGAAAAGGGGATAAGCCGGTCTACTATATTGCTCATCGTTTGTCATCATCATGACGATGATGGTTGCCATGGTTGAGCATTACGCATTTTTATGATTT